GGAACCCGGACAAAAAATAAAAGCCATATTTTATGGTACGAGGATTACTCATGCAGTGTTGACAACACTGCAGAGATGCTCAGAAAACATCACTGTTCTCTTTCCAACTGGCACTTACAGTAAAAAGCTGAATTCATTAGTTCCTCCAGTAAAACTACTGTCGAATGCGGAGGCAACTACACATTTCTCTTTCCAAAAGTCATTGTATCAGTCTGGCTATGGAGACCCACAGAACTGTACATTTCTGTGCCTGTTACTGCCTGTATCACACTGCCTCTGCAAACATGACTGTCCCCTGCTCCCTTTCCAGCTGCTCTTGTAGACTTTGTCTCCAGCACTGGAGGGTACCAAATGTTGCAGGACGCAGGGCAGCCGAGTACTAAACAAGTGTCAGAAGCTACCACATCAAGGAGCAGAACAGGGTCAAGGTGCAGAAACACAAAATCACTGTTTACAGCTACAGAGGGGCAGATGCCTTTTGACAGCATCAGTAGCCAGTCATAAGGCAACTGACTACGAGATTAAGGGAGTCGGAGGCACTACAGAGCTCAGCTCAGGACAGTCTACACGAAATGCCGTCAGACCTCAGAAACCAACAGCTCTGCTGCATTAATTCCAGCTTCTCAGAGTTAACTTACTTTCTCTGTACAAATGTGACATGCAGATGAGGTACAAACAGGATACAGCCAACGTGCATTTACATCTCTGTATCAAATGGGTAATTTTTGAAGGTGTACACAGCATATGTTTTTCATAATCACACTCTTCCATCATGATCAATTAAGTGAATATACTTCCAGAAGTGGGAAAATGATGGAGGTTTCTGTTGACACTGGTGTCAGAATAAGAGAGCATCCATTGAGCAGTTCTGATGCATTTATGTGTTCTAATTTTGGCTTGATGTAGACGCAGAGCTGGATGCATTTTATGACTGCTAGATGATAGAGATTAGTGTGAAGCATTTGTTCAAGTACTCTACTGAATCAGAGCCATGTAAGTGGACATCTGGCTTTAAGTGGATGCTCTAAGGCTTTGCTGAAAAGCAGTGGGCTTTTATAACTGCTTTGTCAAATTGCCTTTATTTATGAACCTCATTTAAAAAAAAATAAATTAATATAATTTGGCATCATTGGTTTTCTGAATCAAGACACATTTCTTTGGCTGAAAACTGGAACAGTGAGGAAAATCTAAAACGAATCAGGGTTCTGCCATATTTGGAGCAATAATAAGAGTCCAGAGGCATACTAGAAAGAAAACTCAGGAGATATCAATCCATCTTGATGAGTAACAGATTGAAAAATGCCATCTAAATAAAAGATGGGCTCTCATAAGAACAGCACATGCACAAATGCCAACATAAACACCGAGGCTACAAAACCAACATCAAAGTAACACCTAAACGAGTGGAAGAGGGGTGGGATCAGGCATCCAGCAGCTTCTCGAAATTACATTTAAAGCATCTCTGTTCCTGCAGCCAGAGCTATCACAGAGGCTGTGCACTTGCTCCACCTCATCTGATCCCTGAAGCAGGGACACAGCCTTGCAGTGGTTAGTGTAGCAGGGACTCTGCCCTGGACATTTGTTACACAAACTGCTACCCATTCCGGTTGGTGACCACATTGTAGCTGCCAGTGGTTCCCAGCACCCTCCCTAGTTGCCATGAGGATGGAGAGGGAAAAGGCAAGGCGTAGGTTTTTATGATCCACCCTGAATTCACCATCTCAGCCCAGGCAGTTTGAGAAGCGCCCCTGGTTACTGCAACAGTTCCATGGACACGAGGAGCAGCTCAGCCCACCCCATCCACAGCTTCCCACTTCCTTCTACAGAGGCATCTGAACACACCTTCAAGGTGAGAATATCAGTCCTTTCAAGCTCCTTGCACTCAAACACTAATGTCTCTTAAACAGACCATATGCAGATATCCTAAGCTCCTAAGGGAGCTGGAGCTTGGTGACCTCTTGGCCTCGCCACTGCTCCGAGGCCAGAGGGAGGCACGTGGTGAAAGGAGCAAGCCCAAGGTGAGAGGAGATGGGAGCAGCAAGGTTCCCTGGAAGCCTGGAGCAGCAGGTTTGAGATCCTGCTCCACCATAGCTTGATTGCTTGATACAGCAAATCAATGTCATTCTAAGTATCACCCTCTTCAGTACGTGGTTGTGAGCTGCTCCAATACTACAGTGAAAAAGTGACATATACCAGAAACAGGCAGGACTAGTCTTCAAATAAGTCACCTGTAGCCCTTACGTTGCCTCTGCCCTTCCAGCAGCAGCTACCTTGTTTTCATGTTTATTTAACACTCCTTTTCATTAAACACCCAAAAGAGATTCTACTGGTAGAGCGATGGCAATGGGAAGTGAGAAAGATGTAACGGAATCCATGTGTGACTCCTTCAGGGTGGTGTAACTGTATCTACCAACCTCACCAAGCACGGAACAAATATGGGCTGCACCTCCCCACTCCTGGGAGATGCACAGGGAACAAGTTTTTTCTTGGCAAACCTCTGGGTGTCAAGAGGCTGCCTCTGCCATCGGAGTGACATCATGTGCCAGGTGTGTCGTGCACAGCCGGTGCCGATGTGCGAAACAGCACGCTGACCTGCAGGAGCGTTTCCAAAGCAGTCTGCTGTGCAGTCAGGGGCTGACAACCACTCGCCACCCCCCGGAATTGCTCGTCTGCAGTGAAAGTCTCATGCTGTAACCTTCCCTAACCAGAACGTGCTGACAGGACGCTAAACTGATTAAATTCATGCAACAAGTTCCCAAAGGTGAGCATTATTAAAGGCAAAACATTATTGCTTATTGAAAGTCATGTTCTGACTTGGCTTGCACTCACATTTAGAGGAGGAAATTTTGATAACTGTAAATACCTGTCCTTTCAGATGTAAAAAGCAATAGGCAGTTTTTGTTCTCAGAAGCACAAACCCTCCCAAACATCTCCACTTTCATTATCTGTATCCCAGGATTATCTGTTACTGTCTGCAACTCAGCATGATTTCATTAACAGTCTCATTGAAAGAATATATTCAAAGCAAAATCAGTATTTGATCAATTTTCTTAGCAGAGGAAGGCAGTACTCTCACAGCTTCGAGAGTAACAGACTGGGGGAAGTGACCCCAATAATTTAAAGCAGAAAGACAACGGGTGCCAGAACTAATTACTTGACTGTAGTGGGAGAAAATATGGGACGTTTCTTTTTATTGGAAGCCATAAAGAGGAATCATTTTGGTGTCTGAAACCTTTGTTCTTCCTGGCTGTATTTTATATATACATTATATAAAAGCAGGGTAATTTTAAAAGCATTTCAGAGGTCTGGCAACCACAACCAATGTCACTGCACTTTTAAGATAAAGAAATTCCAAGGCCATGCCCAGCACGTTTACAAATTCATGCAGGGAGACAAGAACAAGAGCCAGCGTCTCAGAAGCACAGCTCTACGCTTAGGTGCCATTTATTGCAGTATTTTCAACTGTTGTTCGCTGCTAAATATGTAATATACTGAGAACTTGCATGTCAGCACAGCAGTGAGATTACAGGTGTATGGGGACACAGGAGTAGTATTTCTTGTGGTGCAAAACACACCAGGTTTTGGATATTCTCAGTAAAATGAGAGAAAACTGGTTTTAGTGCAACCTCTCCTCCCCGCACAGGCCAGCACAGGGTAGAACCTCCGCCGATACACATCAGCAAAATCACGTTCCAAACAGCACAGCACCTGCCTCCCCACTCCAGGCACACTGCAGGACACGCATTTAATTCCTACTAAGGTGCATTATTTGTAAGGAGGACTAATGAAACGATGCACACCGAATTCTTGCAAAACCTTACACAGCAACAAGCGGTGATCAGTAAGATTAACCAAAGCACTCCAGCATCTCAACAGCCCAGAGGTCAGTGGGATCCAGCCACACGCTCCGAGTGAAGCACTGATCCTTGCGGGGAGAATTTCCTGTCTTTGTGAAACTGGAATTGCCAGAAGGATTCACACGGAGAGACACTGGAACACCTCCGGAGCCTGTGCTCTGAGGAACCCGCCGCTCCCACGGGCACCAGCACGCACCCCACAACTCATCGAGAAAACACTGTGCATCCGTCAGGGTCTCGTGTTGTTTTGACTCCAGGGAACTGTACAGAAGAGCAATGATTGTTTGCATGAAAGCCAGAGAAAGCCCAAATGCCAAAAAATGCATGAAATATCTAACGTCATGCTGTGCTGAACTCCCAGGCTGCCCTTAGAGAATTTCTTCTCTTTTGCAAATTTATTTACTAGCAACTATGGGATATTTTTCTTTCGGTTGGATTGCAAGAATATTCTGGATTTATAGAACATAGACAAAGAAGAATTAAAAGCAATAAAGGAGCTCATAAGCACCAGATATATAGCTTGTTTTGCAGATTTATTTATATAAGAGATAGTATCAATGGTTTCTTGCCAAACATTAAACATGACACTGGAAGCTGCAGTTTATTTAAGCAATGCAGTGTTATACAAGCACTACAAACGACTGATCTCAAACCACTACCAAAAAGGCTCAAGCACTGTGTGATTACATAGTGAAAATAAGTAATTATGACATTTCCATTAAAATTAGCATTGTACAAATATTTATATTTTAATTACCCCAACACTGTAGTTAAGCTTGCTCTCCAGCCTCAATCAAAATATACGGAGGTCATTCTGATGAGTTTATGTTTTAAGTTTACATCCTGAAAACCCCAAATTCTGTCTTCTTTGTAGGTGCATTTAATGCTGCGCTGAGACTAAGGCCCAAAACCAGTCTTGTGTCAGCTGGATCAATAATTCCATCATCCCATAATCTAAGGGGAAAAAAAACCACAACACAGCAGACAGTAATAATTAAAGGAAATTAGCATATAGAGTGAGTAGGTTTTCAAGCACATGAAACTAGAGACAGTTTTACTACAGAGAATGGGCTGAAAAGCTAAATTGTACTTGAATCCATAGATCTAATTCACCCCAACCACCAATGCAACAGACTGCTGTGTATTACTTGGTGGAATTTGTCTTCTAAAAGAAGTTATAAATTTTGGATAAACGAAGAATGTCAAATCTACACATATTAAATGAGATTCTTCATTTCAGTATGAAGTCATACCTTAGAGGAAAGAGCCCCTGTTTGTTTTTTAATAGTCAGATGGAAAATGACCTTTTGCCAATGACGTGTCCTGTTCTACTAACAATGCTAGTTATTTTAAGGACTGTGTCATATCTTTTTTACATTACGTAGGTTAGCTCAGCAGCTAGATGAGAATGATACAAATGTTTATTTTTTCATCATTAAAAGAGCTAGAGGAAATTTCAAGTATTTCCAATATTTGTTGCATTTATTTTTTCTGAAGCCCATTTCGGTAAGATAACATCTCCTTTACACAGCTCTGAGGCCAACTGCACTACGAATGAGCAGTTTCCAAACTCCCAAGTTCCCCCAAATACTTGTAAATAATCTCTTTGATATCATGCAAAAATTAAACTACTTGTGGCATCAGTTCCCAATGACAGCTCCATCCCACCCAAAATAAAACCCACACCAAAACCCTCATCAGACCACAAAACTGTAAATATTGTACAACTACTACCTCTCCAGCAAGGTATTTAAACAAGACAGCACACTGCTCATTGCAACCCAGTCTTGCATAAATAAGCACACATTTTAATCAGTGTCTTCAAAACTTATGCAGAGTATCTATAGCTGTAAGAGAGTAATGTTCCTCTTCCATCCCATCTTTGCCTACAGAGATGGATTTTGCATTTTTTGAACTTACTTCAGTACTGGCTAATGTTTAATTCTTTGTCTGTGGAAAACTTAAAAAAACAATAAGGAATAAGGAGCTAAGATTGACTCTACAATGAGAAAGCAAAGCCATTCCCTTCTAAGTGAAGTTTCCAGCTGCAAATTTCCTATTGTTTGAAGATTAACTGGAAGAAGTCTATGAGACAGGAAATGATATATTCTATACTCTTTTCGGAATACTGAATGTGTCAACTTCAGCCCCAAAAGAAAGGACTGCAAATGGTATATAAATACATCCTGATAAGCTCAAGGCAATGGCAGATGCTTCTAGGTGTTTTCCATCTTTGCTTTATTACGACATTTGCTGTGAAAGTAATATTCATGAGATCAGATAAAAATAATAAGAGACTGACAATGTATTCTTTTTATTTTACAACAAATACCTGTGTCTATCCTAGGATGCACAAAGCAGAATTGTAATAAAAGACACTTCTAACAAGACAGGGCATGGGGATCTTGGGAGCCTGTTCTCCAAGTAGAGAAGAAAAAAAGACACCCAACTTGGAAAGAACATTCTCTTAATATCTTATCATAGTCCAGCTCCTCAAGTACAGGAGACTCTTACCCTCAGCGGGGCACAAGGAAAAAGCTGAAGTACAAAATGAGAAAGGGGTTTGCAGAAGGCAAAACTTTGTTGTTAACTGGGCAAAATGATGTTGTTTCTTTTTTGGGATGGCAAACAAAAGACTAAAGAAATTTTCCACCGTGGCAGCTGTGGCACTCACTGATCTGGCTGACAGGGCCCATCCACCACAGAAAGAAGTCTGGGGAAAAAAAGAATCTCTTTCAAGGGGAAATAAAAGCACCATAAACTCAAATTACAAATGTAAGGCAATTGTAGCTGTATCTAACCTGCCCTCATTTTAGGATTCTCAGTTAGTATCTCCTTTCTAGTGGAACTGTGTATTGGAATATTCTAACAGCCACACTTGCATCTGCATGGAAGAGGGACTAACAGCAAATCCTGTTGCAGGAGACAAACAGTAATCACCTGTATCATTATCTGCATAAAAACACAGAATCATAGAATGGCCTAGGCTGGAAGGGACCTTAGAGATCATTTAAACGCATGGCATAAGCTCTTCCTTTCTGGTTCCTGTGAGTAACTCCTTTCCTAACTGTGGCTTTGAATTTGAAGTAATACTTGTTAAAATATTCTGATGTATTCTAACAATACTCCACTGAAAGGACACTCAGAGTATGTGCTTCTCACCATACAGCAAAAACAGTTTGAAGCCTTTTTGTTCAAAGTAAGCAAGGGACAAAGCATAATTTGGTTTTACTGAGAATTATTCTGTTGTTCTTCCCCAAGATACTGCTTATACCTGTTCATATAATCTAGCAAGACTGAGGAGCCAAACCAGAACATGTCCCATACTTTAAAGATCATGAAGTATGCATTACCAAAGTTTAATGCATATGCTTTTCTTTCCTTATTCTTGTATTTTAGCTCATGATTGAGTATCGGCTGAAGGGATGGAGAAGATCCCCACTGGTAGTGAAGAGCAAAGCAGTAAGAACAAAGTACAGTAATTTCTATTTTTAAGACAATTTGGGAGTTTTTGACTGTTACAGGTTCGTTTCTTCTGCATGTGAACTTTTTTTAATGAACAATTGTAATTAACTTTTTTTACTTAGGAAACACATTGAAACTGAATGAAAGAATTCATACTGCTTAAAAGTGTTTAAAAAACACGCTAAAGGCCTGGGCAGGGCAGGGATGAATTGAATCGAGAAGAATCATCAACTTAATGTGGTACCTTTGATGTGGCAACTTCACAGTGACCACCACTGTAACAAACGCTTCCAAACACAAAGCACGTTTTAATGGCAGCTTTGTTTTTCTGTAACAGCACAATTAATATTGACAAGAACAAAGATTTTATGTTCCATGGAAGTCAAGCTGCTTTCATACAGTCACCTCTGGCTTCTGTTTCTCTTTGTTTAAAGAAAACTACGTTCGCTACTGGGATGCAGCATTAATAATTAAATTATCTATCAAAACCCCATTGCTAGAACATGAGTCACAGCTACGCTTATAAAATATTTGTAACCAAGACATTGTGAGTAAAAGAAATGAAGTTCCCAAAAGTAAAATGCTCATATAATTTGTTAAGATGTAAACCACCGAAATCCTTTTGGAAATCTGTAAGCAGATTAATACAACTCATTAAAAAGGGTGCTGCCTAATGACTCTTGTTAATTAAGACTGCTCACTGTGAAAGGTTCTAATCAAATAATTGATTAAAGTTTGATTAGAAAACACAACTGCAGGGAAGAGTATTGACATCCTGCACATGCAACAAGTTATAATTTATAAGTGAAATTTATAAGCAGAGCAAATAGGTAATTTTCTTGTATTTTAAGATCATCAGGGCATTTTTCCTTCCCTCTCATTATTACTGCTGAAACATTGATTCAAAGCCTAACAAAGTGAACCTGAAGGGCCACACCCATCTCAACAGACATTCGGGATGGGGCAGACTGGTCTCCATGTCTTAGCAAGAGGACAGTGTGAGGACCCCAGACCGGCGGCCCCCAAGCAGCGGTGCAGGCAGCGGGTCTGGCCACCCACCTGTCACTCCTTCCTCTTGGCAACGCAAAGCTGGCATTTTCTTGTTTTTCTCTTGGTCCAGTTTGGTGGAGGGATCTAGTTAGCATCTGACAAAAACAAGGCTATGCAGATGTAGTTTTCAGTGCAGTGCCCTGACATTTTATTGACGGTCAACGGGTTGGACTTTTTTACCTTGCTTGGGATCAGGCAAGAAGCATCTTTTAGAGCAACGGGAACACGTTGCTTCTTCTCCCCCACATATGGCAAATGCTTGCCAATGAGGAGCTAATGCTGGCTGACAAACGGGTTGGCTCCAAGGTACAAGGTGGCTAAATCCCTCCCTCAGGTGCATCACTTGCTGGAAAAACTGTCACTGTTCTGCATCTCCTTGTTTCTCCTTAGGCATCCTACTCCACAGCAATGGGACCTTCAGAGCTCTTGGTCTGAGCAATACAGGAAGGGATCAGGCACACACGTGGTAACACTGGCAGGCAGGCATGAAATCAGGGCAGAGAATGTAAGAATATCTACCGACATACCCAATCATCGCTACAAGACAGAAAAGAGCAATTAAGAGCTCCTGCGCAACGCAGACTGCACCTACGCAGAGACAGAGAGAGAGGAAGCAGCCTGGAGCGTCTTGTCCCAGTCCAGTGACACCGCCCCTGCCAGCACTCCTCAGTGAAAAGGGGCATTTCACTCCTGTTGTAAATACTGACAATGGTCTGTTGTTATTTGAACAAGTTTTTATATTGCTATTATATTGAATGTTAAATAAATCCAATTACTTTAAATCATGAGTACAAAGAGACTATGTTTCCAGTGAACATACAAAAAGAAGAAAATGTGAAAAAAAAAATTAAATCAAATCATTCATCTTCTCCTCCATGGCAGGGATTCATTTCAAATACAGACAGTTTGACTCATTTGCTTAATTTTGTTGTATCAGTGGCAAATTATTCTCCTTAAAATCCAGTTATAAAAGATGACAATTTAAGTTCTCATTTTTCCTTCCTGCCTCAGGGCACAGCGTTTTGTTACACAGGTACTAGACTTGACTTGATCTTTAAGGGGGTTCTAAAAGAGACAGCAGTGAAGTTTTTAACTACTGACATCACCTCTCAATTTGGGAAAAGCCTTACGAAATTTAAATTGATTAAAAGATTTTTTTAAAAAATAAATCAAAACCAGTACGCCACCAAAAGTCCATGTCAGTAACAATTCAGGATTTCATGGAAGTATCCGCATCGATTACACATAAAAACCCCAATGAACTGTAACTTGGTGGCAGCAAGGGGTGTACATGTGCATGAAAACTTAAGAAGTTGAGAAAATCTGTGACTCTAAAACACTACCACACAGGCCTCTGCCAGAAGTAGAAACCAAACAGCGAGGAAACAAAACCCCTCCTTAAATCCATGAACCACCAGCTATAGGACTGCACCGCTGGAATCTGCCTGGACGACACCACGAACCCCGCACTGCACATCCTACTCAGAACACTTACCTCATCTCAGCCCAGTCAGGGCAAGAGTTTCTGTTTGTTGAAGACACTCATTTGATTAAACATTAAAATGAATATAGATCCCCCATGGGCAATTATTTCAGTCAAGCTCATTCCACCAGCCCAAGAGAAAAAACAGAGTAGAAGCTACCATTAGTTTTATATCTTCCTTCAGATAACGGTAAAAAAAATTAATTGGGGAGTTCACTGATGCTCCTGTTTCTAATTCATCCCACATCAGATTAAGCAGGTATCAAGTTAGATAAAAAGGCCCCCAAACTCCTTCTCTTACTGGCATGTCCATGACATTGACAGAGTATCTTACACCCACCTGTTCACATAATTTCTGCCCACATCAAAATATATCGTATCCCAACCACTCTGTACTCAAGTCTGTTTCCAGACTTCTCAGCCTGAAGGTAGGAAAACCATCAGTAATTCTAACTCAGCTACATAAAAACATACACACAGAAGATGCCACACTTGTATTAGACTCTGCAAAAAGAGAAGACACAGCGGCACAGCAGAGCCCTGTTATCACGTGCTTCTCTGCATTATTGTTAGCAGCTGAGACCACATGGGAGAATTAGCTTTTGGATATCACAATCAGAAAAATGTACAGGAAGATTGGTACAGACAGGATGAATCTAACGTACAGTAATGTGAAGAGGCCAAGAAAACCTCCAACCTAGTTTGCAGAGGTAATGCTCCAGGATGCCACCTCGCTTCGTTAGCCTAACTAGTTCCTGGGCATTTACTAGTATTCTAGTAACCTGAGCCCAAAATGCTGCAAAGGACTTCTCCACAAATACGAATACGCTGCACCCATCAGCTAACACCCCGTCCCAACTGCTATTATCTCATACGGTCACCTACCAAGCTCATGACCTGAGATATGCAAACGGGTTCAGGTCTTCCTGAAAATTCTCCTTCACCACAGGCCTTTTCCACTGGCAGAATCCCACTAAAATGAATTCTTCCTAACAAACAAGCAGCCACTGCTTAAGACGCTTCAGAAAGGTGACCCGGTACTACACCAGGAAAAACGTTATAAAACTTATCCAGAATAAAACACACAGAATATGAACTCCATGCTACCATATCATCACCTGAAGAACCAGCAGAGTCATTCCTGCAAGTGCTTGCCTTCTTCTGAACCAGTACACACTGCTCAGAGGCAAGACAGCCAGAGCACTGATTTGAAGCTTGTCGCATTATACTCCTGCCCATCAAACACAATCTTTGTTCCAGAATGCTCTGTTCGGCTGTTCTTTAAAACCAAGATTTAGATGCTATGTCCCATGATTACACTCAATTTTTGGAAAAGCCCCTTATACGTTACCTTGCACTGGAATAATAAGGGTTTCCTTCCTCCTCAAACCTCCTCATGATAGGCTCTTTCAAAGCTGCTTCATCTGCCTCAGAAAACTGAAAAACAGGCAAATAAACAAACACAGGTAAGATATTTTTCAGTCATTTTTTTCCACAATGACAGCAGAGTTCTATATGTGGCATCAAACTCAAAGAAGCTGCTTAAATGACATCCCCAAAGTCTTTCTCTCTTTTTACACACAATTATCAATTTATCATATCTGACAATGAAATTAAAGTATCACTTTCTTAAAATGGGTAGGTGGGAAAAGGAAAGCCAAGCTATACTTAACTGAGGATAAGAATAATTTAGGATTACCATCTGAAGAATTACTGAAGTTACTGTACTGAATAAACTCTGTTGTGAGTTGCCCTTGTTGAGATTTTTTAATTAAAATAAGTCTATACTGTTCTGACACTGAGTTTATCTATGATCCAGAGCAGCTGCCACCAAAATTTAGAAAATTTTCATGTCTTCCAACACATTTTTCTGACATTAGCCATCTTTCTTTTTCTCACACTTCCTTCTGGATGTCATCCTGTTCATCCATGGGATTTGGGAAATGAAGAGAGCGAGAGGGAAGGGTGAACAAATGGTGCTCCTCAGGGGTTGGTGTCTGCACTGGTGCTATTTAATCTCTTTGTTGATGAAACAGACAGTGGGATCGAGGGTGCCCTCCGTGAGTTTGCTGACAACACCAAGCTGTGCGGTTCAGTTCTGTGCCCAGCTCTGGAGCCCTCAACCCAAAAAAGGACTTGGACCTGTTGGAGTGAGTCCAGAGAAGAGCCACAGAGTTGATCAGGGGGTTGGAGAACAGGGCTACGAGGACAGGCTGAGAGAGTTGGGGTCGTTCAGGCTGGAGAAGAGAAGGCTCTGGGGAGACCTTAGAGCAGCCTTCCAGTGACTGAAGCGGGTACAGAGAAGCTGGGGAGGGACTCTTGATCAGGGAGCGTAGTGACAGGACAAGGGGTAACAGTTTCCAACTTAAGGAGGGTAGATTTAGATCAGATATAGGAAGAAATTCTTTCCTGTGGGGGCACGAGGGCTGGAACTAGATGATCTTTAAGGTCCTTTCTACCACAAACCCTTCTGTAATAAAGTGTAGAAAAAAGAACTGTTGACTTAACAGGTACATACCACTTCATCATTCTGAATGACTACTCATGAATACAGGTAACTTTAAGATATCATAATAAAATCACTTCTTATGGGACCAAGGCACCAGTATAAACATAAGCCATGTAAATGAAAAAACAGAGCAGAAAAGATTGTACAGAATCTAGAAAAGATTATTAAACAAAACACCACTAATTTTCAGATAAAATGTTGAGATGAGTCACACTCTTTTCCAAATCTCTACAGGCTTCTGCTGTTACAGGTTTCATAATTCTCAGTCACTGAATAATTCGAAGATCAGCTTTCAATAAAACTGCCTACTTCAAAAACAGTTGTAAAGACACTTTGTTCTCACACAATCCTCCTCATACTCCCAAACCAGAAACAATCCCTGCCTGGTTATCTTGGGCAGAACTAATAATCTGTACAAAATAATAAAAAAAAAAAAGATAAATACTTTTCATAAAAAAGAAATGTCATACATGATCTTCACAGTTAGATGACATAAACAACAGCATTTAACAAATGCTCCTTGCTTGTCAATGCACGAGGTGGGATTAGGTGATCAGTAATTCACTGGTGTCTCTCTGTAACATCCTTTCTAGATCATAAAGTGAACAACTCTAGTGGAAGAGCGAATGGTAATGACATTACTGCAAAGGAAAGATGTACCTGTTTTCCTTCCCTTGCTTTTTGGTCCTTAGCTATCGTGGCTAGAACAGTTGCAGCCTGTTCTCCTCCCATCACTGATATGCGAGCATTTGGCCACACATAAAGAAATCTTGGACTGAAAAAATACACATTAAGTATTGAAATAAGACATTGCCTTACCTCATAGTAAAGAACTAGTTCTCATCCAGCTAAGAATTCATTTTTATGCATGATAAGCTTACAATGTATTCGTTTCTAAAGAATGCAAATTAGTGTACTTCAAAGCTTGCACCATTATGTTTTAAAATGCAAAATTTCTGCTCATTTCTTATATTTAAGCACCTTAAAAAACTATTTCTCTCATTCTTGAATCTCTACATCTTCCTCCCCACCCCTTCCCTCCCCAGAATTTTTCTCATTAAAAATGTCACTAACAACTTCAATAGTGTTAGGGACCTTGAAAAATGAAAAAAAAAAATTTATGTGAGTCATGTTCAAGGGGTCAAAAAAGATATCCCTAGGGGTTCTGCAAACATTGCTCATAAAAACAGGCTCACTAAAGGGAATAAGGATTTTTCACACAAGCTGGTACTTTTCATGCAGAACAAAGGACCAGCCTGTACAGCCTAGGGAATGTTCAGGGCTGTACAATCTCCCTCCAAGAGCTAAAATGGGAGAAAAGCATGCTAGCACGTTAGAAAATCTCCTCCGCCAGCTAATTCAAGGTTAAGCATGAGACTATCAATCTCTACAAGTCTGTCAGGCTGTTATCTAGTTATGACAATATTCACTGAGAACTGTTTTGTTTTCCAAATAGCACAACTTCTACAAGAGTTCAGATGTGGGTTTTTTTTCAGAATGGTACTTCGAAGTTATGTTCACTTACCTTAGACTTAACTCCTATCACAATTTTAAGCAACACTTACCTATATGCTCTCCCACACATCCCATAGTTTCCAGCTCCGTAAGAACCACCAATTATCACTGTTATTTTAGGTACACTGGCACAAGCTACAGCAGTTACCATCTTGGCACCATCTTTTGCTATCCCTCCAGCTTCATATTCTCTACCAACCATGAAACCTAAAGAATTACAACATGAAAAAAAGCAGCTCACTAACTTCATATTATTAGAATGTGCTGCAGGTCATACTGTGTGCTTTATACATCACAGGCAGAAAAAACTCAAGAACAAATCATAAGGCAAGGCTTCCACCAGCTGCTTACAAGCTAATTTCAGACCAGGCTGCAGATGTAGGTACAATCAAGCACACAAGATGCTCTCTACAAGTTATAGCCTCAAGAGTTAACAGTAAAGCCTACAGCACAGTGAAACGTCAAAATATTCAGCTTATTCACCTGTAATATTCTGCAAAAACACAATTGGAATATTTCTCTGGCAACACAACTGGATAAAATGTGTACCCTGTGGAAAGAAAAAAAAGTAAAAAAAAAGTAAGCCACTAAAAGGTGCATCAGTGAAGCTCTCGCTACCAGCACCCCAAAGTCTCCTTCCACTGAAGCCCATGGGAGTCACCAAGTGCTGTCCTACATCTGCTTCATCCAAAGCCAACTGCAAAACACGTATTCGCTCTAGAAGAAAACGCCAAAAATGTGTGAGTCCAAAGGTAAAGCAGAAATAATATCTTCAAAGAGCACTACTGCCAACACTGAAAAGCTCAACTGCTTTGACTCGGCCAATACGTGGTTAAAAATCAGAGACAGCTTCACAATGCGCGGCACCTGACATGGAGTTTTTTAAGACTGTGTCACGGCAATTAAGACATCTGGTCAGACAAAAACACCTCCCTGTTTCCTGCACAAAAGAACACTATTCTCTGAAATTGGGAAAGGCTCACACACTCTGTTTGCTCATGGCTCATGACAACTGCTGTAACACCCTTTCCTTTTTCTCAGTGCAGATGCTCTCTCCTAATTTTCTAGGAAAAGATCACTTTCATAGCTAAGATACAAACAGTAGATTCCAAGGTTCTGTTTCAACTAGGAATACTGAAAATCAACAAAGTTCCTTAGATTATATGCATGCTGCTGGTAAAAAAAAGATAAAAAAGGGGTATGAAGCACTGTAACTGAAAAAAACTCCAACCTCTTCACAATACAAACCCAGCAATATTTACAAAAGAACCCTCACGAAAAAAAAAACAAAAAACCCAAAGAAGGAAAATTACAAAGTATAGTCTTTAGCTAGATTTTTCAGAAAAGTACTAAAACCACACTGACCTCATTGCAAAAATGGCAAAGAAAAAAAAAGGAATGTTGTTAATTATGATCCTTACAGAGGCAACATCATTGACAAAGGTTTCTCTAGAAGTGAAATAAATGAATCCTGACCATCTGCTCTTACAGTACTGACATGCTAGCACAAGCTCTCAGAGGAATATTCCTTACATTTTTTTCATTGGTCAGAAAAAAGTTGCAGCACTACATTACCAGAAAAATACTGAAAATGTTAGAAATCATGAAAGTTATTTTCAGCTTGGAAATAACTGCTATAAAACAAATGCTAGCCAAAACCAATGTCGCTACCAAATTGAAAGTGTTCATTCAGTACATGAAACTCAATTTCACGTATTATTTTATTACAGCAATAAATCAAGTAAAATTACTTTCTTTCTCCAAAACTCTCAAGGCTTCCTTGTTCCTATAGATGTTGAATACTGATTTGCCCACTATTAGTTTAAGAAGCATGCTAGAAGAAAACTTAGCATATACAACACCATTACAAAAAATTTATTTGACAGTAGTTTCTTAAAAAAATTAAAGAACTAAACCAAACACCACAAAACAAGGTAAGTCACTGCTCTGCCACATCCAGAAACTCTCTGTTACAACCAATTCCCCAAACCCAATCCGTAAAGCACTGTTAACTGTAACACAATCATAACACTCTATCAAAGATGCCCTTTAATCCACAGAAAAGTTATTTTAGTTCACAGATTTTATGAGACTACACGTGTTTTCACTCTTTAGTCTAAGCAAGGAGCTGCTGCGGCAAAATATGAAAATTAAACTTCTAGTAAAACAATAAAATGAATGTTGGAATCCAGGTATGAAATTCTCCAGTTATTACAAAAGCAATGTTTTTATGTAGTGCTTCACAGTTTAGAGGTTAGGAACTATAACTAACAGGGTATTTTCCACAATCAGTATGGACTTTTCTTCCAGTGGCTATAAGCTTCAGGATAAACTATTTCAACTGTGTGGTAGTCACACAGCTGACAGTAGCTGTTTTTCTAAGTGTGTTTTCCTACTGACCTGCCAACTTCGTGTCAGGAAAATCCACAAAACACTGATTCTAAAAAATGGTCACTTATTTTTACAACTTATTAAGCTATGTCATGTTGACATGAAAAATATGGAGCCTGTCCTCTTTCATTATTTAAAAAAGTTTCTCATTTCAAGAGCAAGGTATCTACCAGTTTTGTTTGTCAACAGCAAATAATCTCTTTATTTACCTTTTTCGCTGACTCTGAGAAAAGAACTCCATTGTTTCCAATAATTCCTACTGGATAACCAAATATTCTTGCAAATCCTGAAGGAGAAAAACAGATCTGTAAATCTTCACATATATTTATTTTACCAGAGCATATAAAAGTAACACTTTCTCTGGGTAACTCTTTTTGAAGAAAAATGTTATTAAAAATTTCAATCAATGGGTAAGCCAAGCAGAATGAATCCCACTACAAAACCAGTGGGAACTTATACAGAATAATTATAATTTCTAAATACCTGTAATTAATGTATCCCCATACAAGGCTTTGAATTCATCGAATTTACTTCCGTCTACAATTCTGGCAATGACCTGAAGAAAATATAGAAAAGTAAAATGAAATTCCTAATCCTTCATAGTTCTTGATTTTAGAAACAAACATCATGCTGACTTAAAATAAACATTTTCCATGTAGAGAATAGGAAGCAATCCACCATACAAACAGTCCGGACACAAGGTAAAGCCCATTTGCTTTATTTAAAGTGTGATTTATCTACATGTTTATAAAAACTGGAATTTCAAGATTCAGAATATTCTAACTGAACAGTTTAAATTATACAGGAAAAAAGTCTTCCCGATTAGTTAAAGCTCAAAGAAAAACTGCTACCTCTGGTTATATTAAAGATTAATCAATAGATTCACATTCATAAAGAGAAAAATATATATAACTATGAATCACTTTCTTAGAGATCAAGTTTATTTTCAGCTTTGCTTGGGTTTGTGATATACAAAAATAATGAAGATTTGTTCTGAGGTTTCTGCAAGATGCGAAGGAGCCATTTTACATAAACACAGATCCACTGCTAGTTAGACATGTGCCAGAAGATTCTTATTTCAAGTTTAAAGAACACAAAGCTATTACAGCTTTCAAGAGTGTAGCGTGAGTCCCACTGAAAGCGCTCACCTTTCTTCCTTTACTGCAAAGCAAATCCTACCCATTTCTGACAAAGTATTTTAAGAAAGGTACACAATTCCTACAATACATACTTGGCTGGTAATGAAAAAGGCTCTGAAAATGGGATCTATGCAGAACATGAGAAACGATGTGGTCTCAGATGAAGGTAACAAGGTAAATAATTACACCAGACCTGCAGCAGAGTACAAGAGTCTCTGTATGTGCTTGGGAGAGCAATGAATTGTTTGGGGTGCTTATACTCCATGAATTTTTAAATATCTGATCTTTACTTTCACAAGATTAACAAAAAAGGAAAGCTATCTCATCATTTGGCAAGTCTACAGAATGCTTTGCCAATGCAGTTCCCTATTTTCTGGCAGCTTTTCCAGTCGTATAAGCAAAAAGTATTGTATCTTCAACATGCAATTGCAATGGGCTGCTGGGTCAAAATATAAAAAAATACATTAGAAGATTTTATTAATTTTAAATATTCACCATAACCCCCAAATCAGATCTCTTTAGAAAAACTATGGTTTTTTTTTGTGTGCAAGAAAACATAGTGCATGCATGTATAGGCATGCAGATCTTGTGTTTATATTCACACCTCTTTGACATCGAAGTTTCTTTTTAGCTGGTCACCAACTATTCCGTATATTTCATCCGCAGGAAATAAAGGCTCTTCTGATGGCTCTATGGTCACCTGTAGAAGTTTAATAAAACAATTTACACAACAGTCCATATCATGACTTAAAAACCCAAGTGCCCTGAACACAGTCTTCTCTTCACCAACCATCAAAATGCCTGTACGAGCTTGTCCTCATTTTACATGAAGACCAAATTTCTTAAACTGAAGTCTGAAAACACTTTCTCACTTACTGTTACCTTTGTTTCTACTCTTGCATATACCTCCATACCTGCTCCACCTCTTCCATCTTATAAAAAAACTGATCACGCTCTCCCATTTGATTGCTTTTCCCCTGTGTCCTATCAGGCAGTGAGTACTCTGAAAAACCTATTAAGACTTTTGCCAGGCAGCTGAATACAACATCTGCCTTCCTGCAGCTGGTGAGCTTTCAACTCAAATTTGTCCTCTCTGTCAAAGCAAATTCAGGCAATTCCTCTCCCATACGCCATCGACTGTGCTTTCTGCAAGGAATTTTTAAAGCAATGCAACACAGTGACATGATTCAGGTATATACCTTTCATTAATAAGCACAGAAAACTTGTATTTAAAAAGATGCTTTCAGTCCCCATGTGTTGCCTGGTCTAGTCGAGAGGTGGCGTCCCTGCCCATGACAGGGAGGTTGGACTAGAGGATCTCTAAGGTCCCTTCCAGCCTAGGCCATTCTGTGATGATGATGATGATGATGATGAGGTATCTAAATTTTAAATCCAAAGGAATGATCACGTGGGCTGAAATGAAGCACCTGGCAGGACTGGGTTAATTGTAAAGCAGAGGTCTGTAATTCTGAAGCACTGGTCTAATTGCTTCAGTCTTGCATGTAATCCAAATGATTTTATTAGGAATAACGCAATGGAACATCATTGCAGAACTCAAATATTGGAGAAATCTCTAAGGACAAGAATCATAACTTTCATTTTCAAAGTGTCTAAAGTCACAGACAAAAAACGTGTTGTATAAATCAGGAAAATAAAAGCCTTCCTAATTTAAACACAGTGTTGTCACATTCTGTACACTTACGTCTACTTTCTTCTGGAGATTTAAACTTCTTACAGCTTTCCTTGCTAGATGAAGTGCATGGTTGTCATCCAAAGCATAATGATCTGTTACACCAGATTTTCTGCACATAAATAAAAATAGCAATATGAAGGCTTAGAAAAATAAAATACGACAACAAAAATTTCAGGGTTTAAAATATTTTAAGACTTTATAAGTTTTATATTTTCCTTTAGTATACAGATGCTGCAATACTACAGATGCTACGACACTCTTCTCCATGTTCTATTATGAAATTATTTTTAAAATAAACCCCATGCCTGAACTTTTCTTTGGAACAGTATATTCAGGTTATCAGACATGACAAAAAAGGGGAGCTCTAGGATATAAAAAAATCTAAATGACAATATAGAAGATGAGAAACAATGTTAAAGTGAAAATTAAAATTCATTTGAAATCATAAAGAAAACGTTTCACAGAAATGTTATGAACTGCTCTTAAAAATAATTCTTTATTCACCTCAGTAAATTGAAGTAAAAATTAAGTATTTATCCTACAGTAATATCTAACTTTGTTTACTATTCATTCTAGACCTAGGAAGTGCGCAGAATTCTTTGTTTTGATAAGAAGTACTCTCTTACAAAAAACACAAGCTATTTTCATCTTGCTTGGAGTAAGTTCTAACACAGTAATAAAGATGAGACCTGCAAAACATATTCTCTTTCTTAATGCATATTATCTATTAACCCTCAGTATTAACGAGTATAAAAAGAAGTCCTCCATATTATGCATGATGCTGCAGTACGCTAGACATCTGAGTATTGTGAAGCAGTAAATGAAGGAAATAAGATCCTAACTACAGTAACATAAGGTAACTATGCTGCTGTAACAATAAAAGTATTCATCAGCACCAGATAAGGACAAAGAAAATCTTGATTTTCAAAATCTAAACATAGCTTTAAAATATCCAACTATAAATTTAAAGAACACAGTACAGTAAAATACAATACAGCCTACTAAAGTCTAAAGGATGGAAGAAATTATCTCTGGGAACATATTTCTCTAAACCTGCAGTGAAGATCTGCTCCTCCAAGATCCTCTGCTGATACCTCTTCACCTGTTGCTGCTTTGACCTGAAAGAAGAAAAAGAATATGAGCTTTAGAGTTGACACTCGTCTTGCATTAATGTTTACACTGGCTTAGTTACAGCAACAAAATCACTGCAAAATGCTTCTTCATTAATATAATTTCCTCAGTTACTGTTGCCCAGATCTGTCAGATCTAAAATGTGACAACACAGAATCTTCTCAAAATTGCTTAGTTTCTCCAACTTAGCATCCTTACTGTAACATTAATACGAAGTTTTTATTGAGAAAGACTGCCACGTCCATTGTTAGTGTGAGTATACTTACATACCCTTTACACTTACGAACATGCATTTTCCAAAAAATCTTTTTTGCACTTAACAGTTTCAAATGTGACACTTTCCTGCATTGTTTCAAACAAACAACATCTCAGTTGAAACTTAGCATTCTTTGACTTTGCTTTTTCTACATAAACTCTTCTTCTGTGAATTTTAACTTACTTATTTAAATATTTACCATAAAACAATCATTAGCAGTTTTTATTTTCTACATCTTCCATTAAATACACAATACTCTGGTAAGAATGATTTTCTTTAAAAAAGTGTATTAATGGCATACGACTTTTTGGATAAAATATGATGCCTCCATAAATACATCTGGAATGCACAGTCTAAATCCCAGATTTGTCAAATCTTAGACCTTTGCAGGATAATTCAAGAACGAGTGAACTCCTTCAAACAAAGCAGTATCATTTACTGCATAGTAAAAAAACCTATTATGAGTTCCAAAACAGATTTCAGTTTCCAAGTTCTGTGCCTAAAACCAAAGTACAGTGATATAAACACTTATATACTTCCAAACTGTCAAATTTGTAAAATTAATTAAAGATATTTCTTCGCTAGTAGTATTTTTATTTTTAAATTTGAATGGCTACTCGTGTAACATGAAGGTGTGGCATTCTGATACTAACTAATGAGAAGCTTGTCAGAGACAAAATTAACTCGAGTCTTCATTGAACAACAAATAGAAGAACATACTTTTAAGAGAAATTAGGTAACACTTCTTCATCGACAGGGTTGCCAAGCATTGACACAGGCTGCCCAGGGAAGTGATGGAGTCACAGTCCCTGGAGGTGTTCAGAAGATGTGTACATGTGGTGCTCAGGGATATGGTTTAGTGGTGGCCTTGGTAGTGCCAGTGCTAACAGTGGTGCTGTATTATCTTAAGGGTCTATTCCAAAATAAATGATTCAGTAATTCTATTCTGTGATGCTATGAAATAATTCCATGCATCTCTCTTTACGCATCTCACGCAGTATGCAGTTATACAGTGATTCTGTGACAACTGCAGAACTCGAACAAACCCGATCATAGCACTGATTTCTATTAGCACACAAAACTAGACACTCATTTTAATCAACTCTACACAGATTCTTCCAAATCACAAAACCAGAGTTGTGAATTCTGCTGGCCACCCTGGCAGACTGTCTCGTTTGAGCAGGGTCAAAGAGAAGAGGATGCTCATGACCATGTACAGTTGAGTTTGAGTATCTCCAAGGGTGAAGACTCACCCAAACTCTCTGGACAACTGCACGATCATCCTTGCAGTAAAAAACTGCTTTCTTACACCTAAACAGAATTTCCTGTTTTCATCTTTGGCCTGTAGCCTCCTGATATGTCACTGGGCATCAATGAGAAGTCCGGCTTTACTATCTTTAGTACCCCCTGCAAGGTATATATACAGACAAGTATATATACAGGTATATATATAAGGTATAAGGTATATATACAGGCAAGTCTGTATATACAGACTGCCCCTGAGCCACCACTTCACCAGGCTGAGGAGTTCCAGCTCTCTCAACCTCTCCTCCTGTCAGTGCTCCAGTGTCCCTTCAACATCTCCACTGACTTTCACTGCCTCATGTGAGTACATCCATGTCTTTCTTGGTCTGGAGAACCTAGAACTGGACCTAGTACCCCAACTGTCTTTTATGAGGACTGAGTAGATGGGAAGTCACCACCCTTGCCTTGCTGGAAATGCTCTCTCTAATGCACACCCAGGATGTTGCTGACTGCCTTTTCTGCAAGGGCACATTGCTGGCTCAGGTTCAACTTGGTGTGCCCTGGGACCTACACAGCCTCCTCTGCCAAGCACCTTCCCAACTGGTTGGTCCCCACCCTCTTCTGGTCCCTAAGATTATTCCTTCCAAGGAGCACTTGCCTGCTGTGTTTAACTCCCAAAGGTTCTGTTCAGCCCTGTTCTGCAGCCTCTTGAGGTCCCTCTGAAAGGTAGCACAACCATCTGCTCTATTAACCACTCCTCACAGGTTTTTATCACCTGCAAATTTGCTGATGGTGAACTTGGACCACTGTCCAGGTCATGTGTGAAGATCCTGAACAGTACTAGTCCCAGAGTTGAACTCTGGGGTACACCACTAGCGAGTGACCTCCAGCGTGAGCCCAGCAGCTCAGCCAGGTCTCAGGCCACCTCACCATCCACTGACTCAGTCCATACTTCATCAGTTCGTTATGCAAGACAGTGTCAAAAGTCAACATAAAAAATATCCACTGCTCTGTGTGGTTCCACTGAGCCTGTTATCTCAGCATACAGAGTTGTCAGTTTGGTCAGGCCCCACTGTAAATCCATGCTTACTACTCAAGTCACCTTCCTGACCACAGTGTTTTGGGAAATAGCTTCCAGGATTATTTGCTCCACCACCTTCCCAAGTACTGCAGTGCAACACAGAATTGTACAAACTGTAGTTCAAATAGTACTAACCTTCATAAAATTCAGTAAACTCCAAGAGACTGCAGATAGAGCCTTGACAAGATATGTGGGGATTTTCAAAGAAATCTGTGTTCAAGCCACTTCAACGAGCAACCATCAGGAGAAATGAACATGAATTTTAGACAAAATGTGCATTTCCCACAAAAGATCAGGCTGATATTTTCTAGCCCATAAATATACACAAACTTGACAAATCCAGCCCTTTTTACCTTCATTCACTGCTGAGCACAGACAGTAGAGAACTTCCCCCAAGGAAGGAAGAATCACAAGTTTCCGGAATGGGATGGAGAAGCCTACAGATCAACACGGCATCCTGAGCTACAAGCAGTATTGCCAAGGGTGGGGATACAGATTCCTAAGCCTGAGGGAGTGAGAAGAATGGCCCCAGGTATTACCACTACTGCTGTGATACTTGCCCTCTTACTACTGAGTTACATCTGTTCATGATGTCATTACTCTTCACCTTTCTAAAAAGAAGGAAACTTGCATTTTCGACATTTGACTGTACCTGCAATTTACTTTTTTTTAGCATATACATCCCAAGACCAATTATAAGTAACACCAGGGATTTTCTTTCACTTCTTTAGGATGTTTTGTTTTAGGCAGGTGAGTGATAAAATCGAATCCAATTTTCTTCATATAGGAAACACATTTTGGAGAACAGAGTATACACAATAACGACTACAATATCTGATACAACATGGAACAGAAGTTTCTGTGGGAGTCTGAAGTAATTCTGATGTTTATAGAAAGGCAAGTAAAGTATTTTCAGTGAGAATATGAAAAGCTCTACCTAAGAGAAAAGCTGACATGTAGTGATATTAAAGTTTGATCTATATGCATGAAGATAAGGATCATTACATCTGCGCGTTGCTAAGTAACAAATTAAATCGGAGGATAGTTGTGAAATCTTCCTCCGGGAGCAGCAAAAAGTTTCCATCCTTTCTAGCTTCACAGTATGTCACAGGTTAGGGCTGGGCCGGCCACTAACACGGACAGACGCTTTCTAACCCCCTCTTCCCCCTGCAAACGGGAAGGAAAAGGGAGTGAGGCAGAGAGATTTACAGGTTAGAGAAAAAAAACTAGAACCACTGTAATGAAACAATAATAGAAATAACAGTGGAATGATAAAAGTAAATAGCTCTGTACAACTATAGATAGTGGCCTCATATCAAACCTGACTCCCTGCCCCGATATCAATCCCCACTGATGCTGCAGAGCAGGAGGCACTGGGGCAGCCCCAGGCTCAGCGGTGGTGGCAGGAGCTGGATACAGGAACTGGATTCGGGAACTCAGGATCCGGATCAAAAGCAGGAGGTCAGATGGAGTCCTCCCTGGACACCGGCCAGTGCAGAAAAGGGACGAAACTCGCGTGATCACTCAATTTATACTAAATATGATGTATATGGGATGGAATACTCTCGATGGTCACCTGTCCTGTCTCTTACCCCCCAGGAGGTGCCACCTTTTACTTCTTTGTGACCCTTTTACTTCCTGGCCCCCCCAGCGTGGCACACAAGAGCCAGCAGTGGCCTTGGTCACTACAGGAGCAATTATAAGCAAGAGCCTGTCTGCATCCCAGTCCCAGGCAGTGACTGCAAACATCAGGTGTTATCACTGCTGGTAGCACACACTGTCTGCAAAAACATGCTGCTGACTTCAGAAAGTGCAGCCTTTTAGAAGAGACTAAACTGGAAAGTAAAAATCACTAAACAGGACTGGGTTTTAGCTAAACCCAAGACACAACATCCTTGTAGTCACTGACTTGCCTGGTGAAGTCTTCCCTTCGTGACCTGACCCAGGCCATCCTTTCTCAGCTGCCCATCCCAACGAAAGACTCCCATGCTACATCTCAGTGATACACATACAAATGAAGTCATTCATTTCTGATGTTAAACAATTACCATCCTCTCAGAATAAGAAAATCTGTTTCCTATTTTTTTCACCTTCCCAGCCAGCTTCCTGGGTAGTCTTGGGTAGCGGCCATCTTGCTTTGCACCTGCTTCATGCTGGAACCTGAAAGACACTTTGAGCACGCTCCCCAGGACACATCATTCAATGGACTCAAGGAGTCTCTCAGGTCTGCAGAACCTTTCCAGCCCTGACACAGCTCCAAGCAGAGGTGCTTGGAGCGCAGAGCACTCCCCAGCACTCTTGCCAGTGGAAGTGCCAGGTCAGAGGAGCCGAATTCCCTCAGGTCTTTCAGATCAACCAATGTTACGCACTCAGCTAGTATGATTTCCAACTATTAGTCTTCATTCGTATTTATGCTACTTTTCACCAAGAAACTCCTAATATCTAAATTACAGTGATAAATTTACAGAAAACTGATTAATTTTGAGGGAGGATTTGTCTTTGTTTACCTATAAACAAGAAGCTGAAAGAGTCTAAATACAAGATAAAAGGGAATAGAGACCTAAGCAAGATGTTGGAAACAACTATTGTCAAAGAAATTCCAACAGACAAAGAAATTCTTGAATTCAAAATTAAAATGAGCAGCAAATAGTGTTAAATTACCCAGTTGCTACTAATTACTTCATCTGCTTTTGCTGATTACTTTGTTCTTGTCAGCTTGGAAAGCCTCCACTGAAACAATAAAATACTTCAAGCTAAATGTAGACAATAAAGTACCTTTGTACTTAGGCGCGGTGTATGTGTGTGTGTTCCCACTGCTCTCCCTAACTGCTCAGGCCAGTTACGTTCTGAATTTATTTAAGATATTCTGGAACAGTAACTAGCATTCACCAGCCACAGAAAAGTATGTCTGCAAAAATGTTTACTTTTTTTTTTTAAAGTTGCACAAGAATTTAATATCCATCTATACATTGAACTTTAGAGGAAAACAAACAAGCACAAAATGCTAAATCCACTTTCAGCATCAAGATGACATAATGGGGGAAAAAAAGCAGCCTTCAAGTAAAGGGAAACAATGAAATGCAAAACCATACTGTTCTAGTAAGAGTAGTGCTATACAGGTAAACACTAATTGAATCACAGGTAAGCTCTTCATGCTTTTAAGGAAATTAACACAATTGTGCCTTAGGAACTGTCTACAAAAAAATCTGTCAGTGGTTATATTCCCGTAGCTTATGGGACTTGCAATCTTTTCCCAGTATCTTAAGTGATGCAAAGAAGGGACTTCCAGCAGAATCTCCCCCATTTCTACAGGAAATGAGCAGTGCAGTGTCTTCGTTAACACTGGCACAGAGTGATTTGCCCATTTATGCCTGCCCAAGTTCAAAGGACTTTTGAGAGACATTTGACTTGCACGTGGCTTTGTCACAGGAATAACGTCTAAAAACTCCCAAAAGACTATAGTCAGAACAATGTGCAGCCTGAGACCTGTTTGTTCAAAGAGATAAATAACTGATTATTTCAAAAAAGCAGTTTATCCGGTCAGACTTCACTGAGACTAGAATAGCTGGGCTGCACTGTTATTTCTAGCACTAACATTCAGTACCAGAAATTCCTTTCTTCTCATAAGGCTTGTTTTAAGTAAAATAATAATTGTTAGCAAATATTATCTGTATTGGTATAAAACTGAGTCTACGCTAGAACATTCATTGGTACAGCTGGTTTTAGAAAAATAAAGACTTCCTTTCCTGTTGGAGACAAGCTACTAAAATTTTAAAGCTGTCTTATGCTGTAATAGTTTGTACAGTCACCAGTTCCACTATGAATTCCACAATAAAGCAAGTTTTAATTCACAGAATTAAATTCACAGAATTCAGGTCAGTTTCCTGAGAAACAATCTCCATACTAAGACAGTAAGGAAATGATGACAAATTCCACTGTAGGTGTACTTCCTTCGTCTGTAAACTGACATAAAATATAGCTGATCAGTCTTGCTTCTGAAGTTCTCTGATCTTGACTATGAGATATAATATAAATGCTTGGGAATTTTTTATTATTTCAAGTCAAAACTAAAGACTATATAATTGAATAAAGAAAGCATTTTTATCGTTTAAAATGTGCACAGCAACCTAAAAGCAGTACTATAAAAACACCTTAACAAAGTCTAACTTACATATACACTGCTAACAGAAAAGATTTAATTTAGGATATAAACATTCCGATATACTTATAAAGTGCGAACTATTTCCAGAATATCTGGAAATATCTCACCAAGAAAGATCTCAATAGTTCAAGCTGTACAACTGTCAGTAGCACAATTCTGGGGGGACTGTGTGTTAACAGTAACTTCTGTATCCTTACCAACGGTGGCCCTCCCAAGAATATTGTTCCCTGTTTGCCAACAATAATACTTTCATCAGCCATAGCAGGTACGTATGCTCCTCCTGCTGTGCAGGATCCCATTACTACTGCTATCTGTTGGGAAAACAGAAAACACAAGTCAATGAATTGTCCAATCGTTAAAATTAGCGAATGCACAAGCTGCTATCACACATTGTACTGATTTTAACACAGGTTCTAGGACAGCACTGCAGGATTATGTTTGCCTGACAGAGCAAATACTTTATTGCTTCAGCAATTCTTCAAATAAACAGGGAATCTCTCTAGTTTTCAACAATCTTTTAAACTTAAGACCACTCTGCAGGAAACCTCCTGTACGAAGTACTATGAGCTACACGTGTGAAACATTAGAAGACGGGCACGTTCTACCATGAAATTTGTTTTTACTGATTAATGGTAAAAGACTGAAATTTAAGAGTTTGCTCCTGGTGTTTATGCTTAAGTCACAGCTTCAGCTGTTGCTTACTGGCATAATTTCAGCAAAGCCAACATCTTTTGAAGAAAATTCCTCACATCCACTAGCATGTCCCTTCAGTTCTTCAATGGGTTAACTAATTAACTCTGCCCCTTCGAGGCATGTTGAATAACTTGTGGCTTTAGCACGAATAATCTCTGCTTCATCCTTAAGCCTAATTTTGAGATTAGCATCTACTGAAAGAACATTTTCTACTAGTACCATTTTGGTGACACTTTTACAAATCTGACTTGACCCCAGACATGATGAATACTGCAGCAGCACATGATCATGAAAGTGAAGTGTCTCACTTCTCCTTCAGGGGAGCTCCCCCAAAGATCCTTTCAAAAGAGCTTGTAAAGCAGAAGAAATGGAATACTCATATGAGAAAGGAAGACAGTAAGAAAGGAATTGTCTAATCTAATGTTTCCTTTCACAGCCATAAAAAAAACCCCACAAAAAAAGCAACATCAAGTGTTCTGTGTTACGGTTTGCTCTTAAAAGTAAACAGCACACAAAACTAAAACTCCCAAATTATATCACCTTTAGATACCAAGGAGCAGATGAACTATGTCAACCTGCTACCATCAAATCCATCAGCTTTACAGCAAATGGTTTTCAGTATTTTAAATTATATTCAGAGTCACATGACTGAAGTGCAGTATTTCTGTCGTGCATTTAATAAATACCTCCTGCTAAACATAAAGATAACGTAAGCCTCTAGATATGGGAGAAACTTGAGGAAAAAGTTTATTTGATTTTTTTTTCCCCCAGGATTTAAGTCTTCTTTCTGCTTTTAATTTGCCATGTTCATCCTGAAAAATGTGCCCGCACTTAAACCTTAACTCAGGTGTTACTTTTTCCAACACATAAACTGGAATATGCACACAGCAGAAAAAACAAAATCTACCTGTCAGATAGCAAAACTTCAAATTCCCAATTAACATGCTACTTCCTGACTTCATTCTTTGAATTACTGCATAGGAAATTACTTAAAAACACACTAAAAGTCAACAGTTCTGAACACAAATATCCACTGAGCTGCTCTCCACTGTATCCGTGCAGCGCATGAGTGTGAGAGAGCGTAGCAAGTGGCTAACAAGAAGCTAATCACAGCTTTCTGATTCACACCCATCAATGCAATTTGAAGCTGCAGTAGGAGTATAATAAATTAGTCATGGGTAAAAGTGGAGAGGGAAATTAAAAGCACCATAGGCTTGAAATAGGAGGGGGAAAAAAAAGCAAAAATGCAAAAAAGCAAAAAGGAAAAAAAAGAAAAAAAGCAAGCACTTCAGGGGCAAAAATTGAGAAAAAGCTCATGAACTGATGAAATAGACCTTCAGGCAGGCCACAACAAAGAAGAGGAGGTAGAAAACTAAAATCCAGGCTCCCACATCAGAACTAAACAGAATGCATATCCAAGGGAGCAAAATTTCCTAACACAATTTCCTCATGAAACATCCTCTCAGACAGGAAAGATTATTCCAGCTACCGCAGTCTGTTAGCACAGAATCAATAGCATACTTATAAATGCCTTTTCAAAAAGAAACACAGCATAGAAACATCTCCCAAACAAAACACACCCACATTCATCATTTAAATGAAGGAAGCACTTAAATAAACATTTTTCCCAGTCTTCCATAAACATTCTGAGGAAGCTACACAGCACCATACTATGAAAATTCAGCTTTCATCAGTGTCATACCAAATAGCAAATCATTCCTATACTTATTGTATAGGACTACAATGCTACTCTTAATACAATATCACAGTAATCAAAATTCAGCTTTGTGAGGAACTTTATGAACACACTGAAGCTGTTAAAAGATATTCAGAACAACAATCAGCATGACTTTAGAGCCAGGTATTTTTAGATAGACCCTGCCTAATGTCAGTAATTTCACCAGATAATGACTGGGTTATCTAGCAAAAATAAGGTTTAGCAAAATGTCCGGTAAAAGGATAATTCAGCAAAACAGCACTGTGACAGCCCTCTCTGACTCTTGCTGTTCCACAAAAATGCTGGGACAGATTTTATTCACCTATATAAATCTGAAGTACAGCCTAGACTTACCAGTGACTCTGGAGGCTGGTCAGCATGTAAACTGTCTTCTTCCTAAATATTTTTGTTCTAACTCAACAGTGGAGAACTGCCTAATCACTACAATTACCCCATTTTTATTGTTGGAAAACTGCAGAAGTTAAATTATGCCAGACTTTAGAAAGAGATTTACAGTGTGGTGTTGGAATATTCAGCCTTGAATTTCTCTGGAGGCAATGGATGTCAGGACTTTTGTAGAGGAAAAGACGGCTGAAGGTTTGAGTCTGACTTGTTTCCAGTACGTGACAGAAAGGTCTCACGGGAACAAATGCAGGTTTTCCCAGAAACCATGCAAAGCCAATGTCAGGAGTCGGAAGCCATGCTGACCAGGGCAGCTGTTTCACAGTGACAGAAGAACTGGCTTCTATTTCCTCCTTTTCCACCAGGAGATTCAAATAAGCACAATTTCTCACAGAGAATAAATAAAAATGGTTCCAGCCCAATCATGCCTCTCAGTGACAGATGCTGGTAGGAATGAAGTAAATCAAGCCTTATTTTCATTTTACATTAATGATCAGTTTAATAATGTTAATGATAATTTCAAGTATGTCAAAACAACAGTGGTAAAATACTTCCATGACAGATGAAACAGCAAGTTAGTTAAACATTTAGCCTGCTTGAGGCTCCAACACCTATTTCTAAGTCTAGTGTTCTAAAATTTTTCTTCTTAGGTGGAATATCATAAAAATTTCCATCACCTTCTTCCATCCAGCCAATATAAAGTGATAGGCATTGAAGTGACAACACGTCTATGAGCACGGTTTTGAAATTAAGATAATTCAGTGAAAATACCAGCTCACTGCTCAGCAGTCAAAAAAAATCAATGTTAGGAACTACTGGCAAAGGAATAGAAAAACAGAATAGTGTCTATCGTTATGCTATTATATGTCCCTCCATCATTAGCCAACACAATGAGTAGTGCAGTCTGGCTTCTTCGTCTCAGAAAAGATAACAAGACTTGGAAAAGGTTTACAGAAGACAAACTAGGAACATCATAGGCATGAAACACTATGTAGGAAGTACAGCTGAGTCAGCTTGAATTCTCTGCCCTGCTCAGGAGGGTAAGAGGCAGGTGTGGGAGAGGTCTGCACAACCGTATGAAGAGGCGAGATGTTGATCGACTGGAGAGCAACTCTGTAGGAGCAACCTGGTCATCTGCTTTCTTGGAGCATTTCTTTATTTGAAGGAGGTTATCTTCAAAGATCATGGACTACTCTGCCCTCTCTGGCAGCCTGTCACAGGGCCCTGGTGACAATTCCCTTAACAAGCCTAAGCCTGCTCTCCTGATGTCCAGGGTCCTTATCCTGCTCCCTGCCTTCCTCACCTTCCTTGGGACCTTACACCCTGCCCTCCACTTTCACTGCAGCTGAGGCTGCCACAAGCAATCACACCCTCAAACTGTTCCATACTCTTCATGAGTAATAGATGCAGAAGCACACCTCCTCTAGAACTCCACCTGTATCAAAAAAATGACCCCAATGCACTCCTGAAATGCCTGTGACAAAACCACACTTCTAAATCCAGGAACTGTGACTAACAATTCAATGCATCATTAATACATGAGTGAACAAGCTCACTATTCAGGCAGTTTTATCACACAGGAGTGTATAAAATGGACATATAAATACACACATAACCCTGTCAGTAGAAAGTATGTCTCATTCACCAGCCATCATCAAAAGGGTCCTCACCTCTACAGTGCTGATGCAGCCCTGTTCCAAGATGTTTCGTAACACTTCCTCACATGGCCATACGGTCTGTGTCGTCAAGTCCCCTTTTTTCCCACTCCAAGATAGGAGCCGGTAGGTCACGTCATTAACACTAAGGCCAACAAAGAAGATGGCCTCTTCAAAATTATAATGACATTTTGTTGCCAGCTGCTATGTTTACAGTGCCTCCAATCCCCAGACTGCATCACCAGGTCAGGACACCACAAGGTTTTGGTACACCACAAGGCTGTCAAAAACAAAGCATGGGTACAAGCCCTGGGACCAGATAAAGGCAGCAAGCATAAAAACTAATTAGTACATTTCGTTCTTAAGCAAAAGGAAATTACCTGTGGAATTCCTTGTGAGGACATGACTGCTTGGTTATAGAAAATACGGCCAAAATGATCTCGATCTGGAAATACTTCTGCTTGTCGAGGCAAATTTGCTCCTCCTGAATCAACTACAGTGAATGAAAATGTATTAATATGTCTTTGAACAGTGTTACATACTAAAGCTGTTGAGAAAGCATCTGCATGTTACTTAAAATACACAGCATTTACTATCAGTAACTCTAGGTATGTCCGTAAAATTTAGGTATATTAGGATACTCTTTTGAAAAAAAGAAAGAAAAATAAGTAACATCATTCACACCCAAAATAACATCCATCCCACTCACCACAATGGAGAGCAAATTCAGATACACTCGGAGACATAATCATACCTCCCCATACAAAATTCTAAACTCATCTAATTGCAACACATTTAAATTAAGAACACTTCCAATGTATAATTTTAACTCAATTATTCTACTGCAACTTTGTCACAAGTTCCAGAGAGCAGCAGGACTAATCACCACTGAGTTCAAGAGGTATAGCATGCGTACTTTCATACCTTTATTACAAAGACATATTGAAGACCTGCTTTAAGAACCTTTGTCTACTCTGTGTCCTTGCCAACTGCAGCCACCTCTCCACTCCCAAATAACTGAAATACATTACGCCGTAAGACTCCAAAGAAGGACAGAAGACTAGAAGGCAGTGTACAGAGAGTTAAAGCACCTCTGAAAACTCTGGCTCCGGGTATTTAGTTTTTATCTATAAGCAGCAGTCCATACGCACATTTTCATGCTGCGTGACTGCAGCCAGCACTGTCGTACACACCCAGCTTTACATTCAGCTGGAAGTAAGGTTACGAGTGAAGTTGGAGGCCTGTGGCCAGTGCTGTTCCCCAGGGATCAGTGCTGGGCCCGGTTTTGTTCAGTATCTTCATCAACTACCTGGATGAGGGGACAGAGGGCACTCTCAGCAAGTTCGCTGATGGTAGGAAACTGGGAGGGGTGGCTGACACCCAGGCAGGCTGTGCTGCCATCCAGTGAGATCTGGGCAGGCTGGAGAGCTGGGCAAAGGGGAACCTCATGGAGTTCAGTGAGGACAAGTGTAGAGTCCTGCAGCTGGGGAGGAACAACACCAGGCTTTGGTACAGATTAGGGGTCGTCCTGCTGGAAAGCAGCCCCGTGGAGAAAGACCTTGGAGTCCCAGTGGGCAGTGAGTTGTCCCTGGGACAGAAAAGTGCCCTTGTGGCCAAGAGGGCCAGTGGGATCCTGGGGTGCATTAAGAAAAGTGTGTCCAGCAGGTCTAGGGAGGTTCTCCTCCCGCTCTGCTCTGCCCTGGTGAGACCACACCTGGAATTCTGTGTCCAGTTTGGGGCTCCCCAGTTCAAGAGAGACAGGGACCTACTGGAGAGAGTCCAGCAGAGAGCTACGAGGGGGATCAAGGGACTTGAAAATCTCTCCTGTGAAGAGACACTGAGAGAACTGGGGCTGTTTAG